AAAGGACCTGTAAACAAGGAACCTGTAAACACGACACCGTAAACAAGGAACCTGTAAACACCTGTAAACAAAGAGAACCTGTAAACAAGGAACCTGTAAACACGACCTGTAAACAAGGAGAACCTGTAGACAGATTCCCACTTCTCCATTAAGGAAACAAGGCCTCGAAACGGATGATTTAATGAGCGTGGCCGACAATCTCACTCACTACTACTAGACCTTTTAGGACTGTGTGTGTGTGTGTGTGTGTGTGTGTGTGTGTGTGTGCGTGTGTGTGAGAGGATTGAGTGAGGCAGGATAGGAGAGAGAAAGGGGGGATTGAGTAAAAGAAAAGTAGAGCAAGGCAGTGACTGAATAGAGAGAGAGAGAGAGAGAGATTACCCTGTTTTGTTTACTCTATCCCATGATTGACTAGATAAGATGGAAGGATGGGAGCAACAACAACAACAACCCTACGCACACACACACACACACACACACCTAAACACCACCGCCCCCCACATCAGTACAACTCAATACACCAGGACAGAGTGATGTTCCGTCAGGCTGTGGTAATATTTCCCCAATTTACGGACCATCTGCTGACTGGCCCAACACCCATCTTTATAGTTAGGCTTCTGTTATGGAGATGGATGGTCAGCAGGAGGAGGTGGAGGAGGAGGAGGAGCAAGAGGAGGAGGAGGGCAGGAGGAGGAGGAGGAGGGGCAGGAGGAGGAGGAGAGGAGGAGGAGGAGGAGGAGATGAATGGTCACGAGGAAGAAAAATAGATCAAGAACAAAAACAAGATGAATGAAGAACAAAATATAAACAAGAGGAATAAGAACAAGAACAAGAAGGAGAAGGAAGAAGGAAATAGGAAGAAGGAAGGAGGAGAGAAGCCAGATGTGAGAGGCTTACTGGAAAGGCTTCTGTGCCACACTTTGATCTATGGGACGACTGTGCCTGTGATTGGAATATTGAGAGAGAGAGAGAGAGACTTTTTTTCCATTTCGCCATTTCAAGTTGTAGTTCCTTTGATGGTTGGCTCTATAACTCTCCTGAAGATCGGTTAAGTCCGCTCACACAAGCTTCTTAAGTCTGCCTACACACACACAGCTCGGGCTATGTGTACGGTACCTTCCAAGGAACTCTCTGGGCGCCTCCAACTCTCGCCTGGTTATTGAAACACGAGTGACTGGTGGACCAGGTTGAAAGGTGATATCTGTACAGTATAGGTGGAGTCAGTCACCCCCAGGGTCAATTACCTGTTTATCACACACACACAATATTCCCATTTATCCCTCATTTTTTGTCTGTCTGTCGGTCGGTTTGTCTCACACTGTCTCTCTCTCTCTCACGCAAAACATCTCTCTATATATATATATATATATATATATATATATATATATATTCGACACAACTTTCCCATCACTTTCCACTTTTGCCAACGTTCACTCTTCCCATTTTTCTTGCTTCACTGATGGAAGTTTTTCGGACGTGAGGGTCGCTTTTTCGGGTCACCTGAAGATTAACCCCCCCCCACACCCAGCCTATTTCACCTGATGATTAAACACCTTAACGTTACCTGGATTAGGTTTTTTTGGGTGACCAATTCGGATATCAGGAGACCTTTACTGGAGGAGAGAGACAGAGACAGAGCTTAAATAAGACAAGACAAACAGAGAGAGAGAGAGAGAGCTGACACATATAACACAACTCTTCTCTCTCTCTCTCTCCCATGTACTCGGGGTGAGACGATCAACATGGACATACAGCCCCGTGGGAGAAGACCTGGGGAGGAGAGGAGACGGTGGAGAGGAGAGGGAGGAGGAAATCGAAGGAGATGGAAGGAAGGTAAGAGGAAAGAGAGGGTGAGGAAGGAGGAATGGGATAGAGGAGAGAGGGAGAGAGAATTTTTTTTAAAGAAATGAGGAGGGAGGGAGGAAGGGAGGGAGGAAATACAAGAGGTGGGAATTATGTTCCAATCAGACCAACATGAAGCTTAATATAACAGTCAGAATCAGCAAGAGATCAATGCGTTCCCATCAGACCAACACAAAGCTTGGTACGTTCCAATCAGACCAACACAAAGCTTGGTACGTGACAATCAGACCAACACAAAGCTTGGTACGTGACAATCAGACCAACACAAAGCTTGGTACGTGACAATCAGACCAGGGGCGCGACTAAACTCGACCCACTGTATCAAACGTGATTAAAACCTGACTGTTACACCGAGCCAACACTTGTAATGTACTGTACCTCAAACACACCTAGACCTGTACTTTGACCTTACTGAATGTCTCTCTCTCTCTCTCTCACCTGTACTGTAAGGGAGAGAAAGAGGGGGGGGGAGGGGGAGGTAGTGGCAAAAGGAGAGTTAGGAAAGAGAGGAAGACGTGGCAGAAGTTAAGTGAGAGTTACCTAAGAAAGGAACAAGAGTCGAAAATGAAGTAAACTTTTGGCAGTAAGTAAAATTACGTGTGAAGGAGAGAACTTGTCCCGAGGTGGAGTGAGGGAGAGGGAGGAGTGAGGGGGGGGTTGATGGAAGGGGAGATGAGGGAAGTGAGGAGGGAAAGTGAGGGGGAGTCATTTTAAACATATCATGGTACTGTATCATATATAATTATTATTATTATTATTATTATTATCATTATTATTATTCTTTAGTAAAAATAAAAATGTTTATCCCCCAATCATCTAAATTTTCGTTCGTGTATATTTTTAAAGGTGTGTCAAGGCTTCCTGCCCGAGTGAGTGAATGGTGACGAGATGTGATCAAAGGCGTTCACCAAATCCTGCAGGAATACCAACGACTCCCTGTACTGAGAGAGAGAGAGAGAGGTGACGCTGTACTGACTTGTGTGTCCTCCACCCTACCTACTACCTTGTCCTCCTCATCTTCCTCTTTCTGCTCGTCCTTCTCTTTTTCCTTTCTCCTGCTTGTCTTCTTCCTCCTCCTCCTCCTACTCTCTCTCTCTCTTGACCTCCCTCTGCTTCCTGTACTCTCACCTACCACGCCTTCATGCTTCACTACTCACACGTCTCTCTCTCCCTTCCACACATACACCTACACCTGGAGACACAGACAGGTTCCTCCGACACAGTCTTCAAAGGGAACACCCACATCGAGTTATGTTGGTTTGTTTACCGCCAGTTAGAGTGACACGCGCGCACGCGCGCACACGCACACACACACGCACACACACACACACACATAGTAGGGAACATCTGCAGTTTCTGCGACACCACCACAACAGGAGACGGACGCGAACACAACGTGAAGAGAACGTAACATACACTGTAACACACAAGAGGCTTTCACCATGGTCAGCTTTGATATCAAGTCCTACTCCACCACTTGTCTCCAACACGTCCTCCACCACCACCGGTCTCCAACACGTCCTCCACCACCAACACCATCAGTCTCCAACACGTCCTCCACCACCACCAATCTCCAAAACGTCCTCCACCTCCACCAATCTCCAACACGTCCTCCACCTATCTCCAACACGTCCTCCACCACCACCAAAAATGTGTTCCAGAGTTACTCACTTTCCGCTGAGTTAACTTCCCTGGAAATAAGTCATGAATATTTAAAACTACGAGATTCTCTTACACGTGTAATGACTCTATAGAAATACATAAAGAATCCAACAGTGTTAACAGGTGACCGGACGTTGTTATGGTATGTTATTTTGTTGTTTGTTATGTTACGTTATGTTATTGTTATGTTATGTTGTTATGTTATGTTATGTTATCTTATATCATGTTGTTATGTTATTTTATTTTGTTATGTTTGTTATGGTATGTTATTTTGTTGTTATGTTTATGTTATTACGACAAATACTGTGTTATGCTCTGACTGCCTATATCCATCAGCCTATCCAATAACCTAACCTAACCATCCAGTAACCTAACCTAACCATCCAGTAACCTAACCTAACCATCCAATAACCTAACCTAACCGTCACGTTCACAGGTGAGTCGGCACTCCTTATTACACAAGTTACCTGTACAGAAGGACGTTAAATACAGGTAATGTAGAAGATGCAATAGACGTTTATCACACACACACTGTGGATTCGGTAATTTTTTTAATTAATTGGCATGTAATTGTATAACGATTTTACTGAATAAAAATATCTATCTATCTATCTATCTATATTCCTTTCAATCTATGTAAACCAATCAATCTATATGTATGTGTGGCCATATGATGTCTATGTATGGCTGTATGTATGTATGTATGGCTGTATGTATGTATGTATGGCTGTATGTACGTATGGCTGGATGTATGTACAGTATGTATGTACGGCCTACAAATTTCCACAACTGCACAAAATACATCCCCGGTTAGTCAACCTGTACAGCAACTGCCAAGGACACTGGTGTTTAGGCAGAAACGTGCACATTGTACTGTACTGTATTGTACTGTGTAGGTACGTCTGATAAGAGGTTGCCCCTGTGATAACTAGCTGATAAAATGGCCGTGTGTATGACAGAGAGAGGGGGAGAGACACAGAGAGAGAGAGAGATGTTATGAAAATTTGCCAATATCATGAGTGTTGCCTTATTAGGTAAATCTTACATCACTACACACCAACAATATTCTCAACCTATGCAGCAATAACTCTTCCTTATATAGAACACCTGTAATTATAGGTCAGAGACGATCATAATATACTGGTATATACTGTACGAAAAAATTATAATATAGGGAAAAAATATTAGTTGGGAGGAATATTGTTTTATATGTCACGCTGCGGAAATAAGGACAATGTTGATAACTTGGCAACTACTCCCCCCCCCCCCACACATTTGTTATTATTATTATTTATTGGGCACCCCCCTACATCCTTGTGTAAGGTGAAGCGCAGAAGCGTTTACAGCACCTAACAGGGAAACATGCTAAGTTCATGCTTGCCACACACACACGCGCTAGGAATAGTTCTCGTACTCTGGCAACCTCTTATAAACACACTACGCTCTCATAAAAAAACACACAGACAGGTCCCGTACAGGTCCGTGGCGCACCACCACAGCAGAATTACAAGGTGACGGCGCCGCTCGCTCACTTACACCACAGCCCTTACAGCCACCGTGTGTGTGTGTGGTGGGAGACAGCGCTCTAAGAGGTTAAATACCGCCTTAACCCTTAATACACCAGTGAGCTGAGCAGTACCCCAACCTTCAGATACTGAACGCTGTAAGTAAAGTACTGTCTGATAGATAACCTTAACATCTCTAGAAAAGTATTAAATATTAAGTTATTGGTTGAAAGTACGTGTACATACGGTATAATATATCGAGAAAAGTATTAAATATTAAACAGTTAAAAAATATTTGCGGATTATCGCCTCATATTTCGGTGGCATAATCAGAGTAAATTTTCGTGTTACAGTTTTGTGGTTGGAACTGTAGTGGTGACAGCTGATCTTCTCAATCACAGCCTAATCACCAATTACAGTTCCACCACCAATCACAGCACAGCGTTAAATACTGGTGACCCGATAAAACTGACACACACACGCACAATTATATCACTACTCACACACTTACTACATATATATACTTACACACACACACACACACACACACAGACATAAGAACATAAAATAATGAGTCTGCAATAGGCCGGTTGGCCTGTGCATGGCAGCTCCTGTCGAGAGTTACTACCACTCTCTATCATCCATGAATCTATCTAGCCTCCTTTTGAAACTTTCCAGCGTTCCAGCACTTACTACAAAGTTGCTAAGCTTGTTCCACTCGTCCACCACCCTATTTGTGAACCAGTTCCTTCCTATCTCCCTCCTAAACCTAAACTTATCCAACTTAAATCTGTTGCAACGAGTCCTATCCTGCTCGGATATTATAAGAACTTTATCTATATCTCGAAACACCGCCAAGGGACACTGCCTATTCATGGTGCAATCACTTGGGGGGGGGGATGCTGTTGATGATGGTGCAATCCCTGGCATCAGACGGGTATAATTAGTAGCAGCAGCGTCTTCGTGCGCCCTCTGCTTTATCCTCTTTCACCCACAACTTGAGGGAGTCGTGTACTGGACCAAAATAATCCCCCTGACATAATTTTCCCCCTGGAATAAAATCTCCCCTCATGGCAAAAAAATCATCCTTGAGAAACATTATTATAAAATATGGGAGGGATTTTGTCCAGAGATTGTCCTACTGTACACGTTAACTAAGGTGGGATTTTGTCCAGAGAGATTTTGTCATTCCTTGCACGTTAACTGAGAGGGATTTTGTCCAGAGATTTTGTCTTACTTTGCACGTTAACTGAGATGGATATTGTCCGGCAGCAGCAAGTGAGTGAGGGAGATTTATACTGTTGTGACGGTCGTTAAGGGGAAGAAATAGACCGTAAGCATCACTCTTTACACTGTTGGGGAGGTGGGGAATATTGTACAGTTAATAGACCTTTTATCTATGATTATACCTACACCCACACTCAGACATACCTACCTACACCCATCCACCTACCTACCTACACAAACATTACCCATCCACACACACACAAATAGCCTTCTCACTCACACACCTACTTACCCACTCACCAACCCACACTCACCTACACAAATAGTCTTTCCACACTCACCTACACCCAGCCATTCAGACGGGCAAAACGTTGCAGATATAACATTAATATTAAGAACTCGGTATAACCCCAGGATAACGTTACTGGGTGTTATAAGTAGACAGTGCCAGGTAATGTGCAGATTACAGGTGGTACTTAACACAGGTAATGGTTCCCTGGACACTGTGGCGCACTTCAACCCTTCCTAATGTCTGTGAGAGAGAGAGAGAGAGAGAGGGAGGTGTAGATGAGAGACAGCGGGGTAGATATGTATGTATGCATATATTAGATATACAGTAAGTATACATATGTGTGTGTGTGATTGTCAGTTTGATTCTATATGTTGATGACACTACCACTTAAACTCAGGTAACGTCAGGCAGTTTATTTCTCTTAGGTGGACATTTTTGGGGGCACAGCTGATCATCATTAATCAAGGGTCTCTCTCTCTTTTTTTTTTTTTTTTTTTAGTAATATCGGGTCCACTTGAATTACTTTTTTTCACCTGTAAGCAAGTTTTCTTCACTTACGCTAGTGTGTGTAGAGGTGTCCATGTGTGCTCTTCTGTGCGTGTGTCGAGGTGTACGTACATACTTGAGGAGGATGTCCATGTGTACCTGCATCATTTATCTCTCTCTGACCGTGACCATTGACATAAAAAAAATAACAATATTTTCCAAGTCCAACGATATTAAAGTCCAAAGCTCGGTGGCCATCAAGTCCCAGAGACCTGGTCCACACTGATTTCTCGAGGGAGGTGTGGGAAGTGTGTGGTGTCACTGCTGCCAACTGGGCGCTCAACCCTAATGGCCTATCACAGTTGCCAGCAGCCCCACACCTTGTGTATGAAGAGGACGGTGGTGGTGAATGGTGTGTAGTGCCGTGTGGGGGTGCTGCAGTGCAATGCTATCAAAAGGGATGATAGGATGTGGTGCTGTGTAGTGTGGCCACAGGACATTTTAGAAACACACACACACACACACACACACACAGCACTTATAAAGCTGGCCAAAAATCGTGTGAGCCCCTTGACAAATCCCACGTTATTTTTTAGGAAAACTGTTAAAATTGAAGCTTTTGTACTGTTGCAACGTGAAATCCGACGTACTACACACACACACTAGAAGTATATACAATTCCAATTAACCAGGACACTTAATAAAAAATACCAATTAGCCAAGTCAAGTCTAATAATTAACATCTCGAGGCTAAGTCTTATCTGAAAACATAACTCGAATACAAGCGGTGGAAAGTGAATTAATGAGAGAGAGGCAGAAGGTGCTTGCCGTCAGTGTTGTTGTGGAGTGTGCCATGAGGCGTTATAAGCGCCGCCCTGATTGGATGTTAGTGTGTGCTTGACTGCCACTCACAGGACTGCTTGTGTTGTGTGTCCTGAGTCGTCTCCCAGCACCGACACGTCTACTCGACTCGGCACAGGGGGGAGGAAACATGTACGTGTCTCCTGTCTAAACAATAACGGTGATAAAAGTGTTGCATGTCTCGTAGTAGTATTGTGGTCGTTGTTGGAATAGTAGTAGTGGTTTGTAATAGTACGGTAGTAATAGTTGTTGTGGCACGGCGGGGGTGTGTCTGGCTACCTAGTTAATTATTAAGATCCTTGTAATAACTAATAAGGTGTTGACATGTTTACAACTTCCTCTGTGACTCATGAATTATTCATTTCTCCCATCATTATCATCATTAACTCTGGGGAAGTATTACTACTGTTTTAATTAATTTTTATTATGATTAATTTTCCGGGGTCACTTTAATATTATACCTGCCAGTTTAGTTCACCTTAACCCCTTCATACGGGGGATGGACGCCGCTTTTAGCATTTTATTTGGTTAACGTCTGATGATTTTATTAAGCTCAGGGGAACCCGTATCTAACCTAACATCCCAAGGATGGTTAATGATCAGATGAATGAAATAAGCTAGAAGAGAGGCTAATCTTAAGGTGGTTAATACCCCTTTAATTTCACCTTTATTATTACCAAAAGTTTACTGTATTTTTCACCAGGTACCGTCTGTAAGGTGAGGCAGTATTGATCACAATGGTGGCTCCCTACCAGTCCGGAGACGCAGTACGTTCCTTGGTGCGAGTACCGGGCACTGGCACCAACAAGGAGGCCATACCCAAGACATGTAACCTTACTCACATGTGTACCATCAGCACCGTGTTCCACCAGCCGCCCGCCTACACAAGGTCGGTGCGGTACCTCCTTCAGTCGCCACCCTCACCCAATGACCCCCATCAGCGAGGCCACGACAACAAGAACAGCGAGGCCACGACAACAACAAGAACAAGGTGAGAGGATAACGTTAATTCTTACTGCTGAACGAGGGAGCCATGACCACACCCCTACTGTCCTTCACCTGTACACAAGACCCCGTTGATCAAATTCACCAAGATTACTTCACCAGCGACAGTGAATTGTTCTTGGCCTGTAACTGCCACCATGTCATAGCCTGTTACCTGTAGCGGTTCTGTCGAAATAAACTAGGCTGGAATGTTTATATTTTATTGGGTAATAGTAGCAAAACCTAAGTTGTCTGTTATCCATTTATTCAGGAACAACTAAAACAGTTCCTAAGTGTAAATCAACCGTAACTTATCACTGTAACTATGAGTGTTAAGAGAAGGACGGAGGCTATGTAAATAGACCTGCTTAAAGACGTCCTTTCTATGTGAGGCGTTGAGGGAGAGTTGTATGAGTAGTGACTTCTATCAAGGGAGAACGGAATAGGCTCGTCGCCCTCCCTTGAGGGAAGGAGGAGCCATCCACGAGGGCTCATTATTAATGTATATATTTACATGAAATATATTATTACCTAAGATAATAAATACTATTGAAATTCAGAAATCATCACATCCCAGGATCTTAGGAACAATGCTAGTAATGCCATCAGACACACGATGGAACACAGTGACAGATTCTATTGAATCTTATTTAAAGAACTGGGAGACCCTTGTCAAAGTGTGCAAAGAAAATAGTGAAGACATTGATAAGAAAATTGAAAGGAAAGTTAATGATAAGGCATTAAAAAGAACTGCAGAAGACTATTTAGAGAGACTTAAGCCTATTGCTGTGGCATTGGACTGTGTCCAGAGAGAACATACCCTATTAAGTGATGCTGTAGAAATCTGGGTAAAACTGAAAACTGATATTAAGGAGTATTTAACAGATAAGAAGGATATGGATAATTTTGAAAAAGAATCAAAGTAGCATTGACACCTGCCCATTTCCTAGCTTATGTGATAGATCCAAGGTATCAGGGCAGACATCTGACTCCTGAGCAGCGAGACATTGCAGAACAGTATATGTGCGAGTCTCTTCCACATTTCCTTTCAACATTAATGTCCTTCCATGGAAGAAGTGCACCATTTAAAGAGGTCTATTTTGGTAAAGATGTTGTAAAATCTCTCACCCCTTGCTTGGTGGCAGTATTTTGCCAATGATATGACAGAAAATGTAATGGATGTTCCCAGGCAATTATTAACAGCTGTTGCATCATCAGCAGGGGTTGAGAGAATTGTTTCCACATATGGATTTGTACACTCAAAGGTAAGAAATCGCCTAGGACAGGAAAAGGCATCTAAGCTTGTCACAGTACATAAGCATTTCAATGTTCAACTAAGCTAATTTAAATGTTTTGAACTAATTTTTTTTGTTTACAGAATGAGAATATTGTGTTGACTTGAAGTTATTACCGGTAATTCTTAATACACTATAACCCTACAAATGTAAGAAAATAAACTTGTTACCAGTATTATTTTCTTTACAAAATGAGAATATTATTCTGTTGACTTGAAGAAGTTAAGTTATTAATTTTTGAAACACTGTAATCCTATAAGAGCATTAATGTTAAATTTCATTATTACGTTTGGATTTGTGAACTCAAATGTAAGATATGTTACCAGTTTTCTTTTATTTTACAAAAAGAATATTATTGTGTTAAATGCCATTGGTACATCTACTGCATGAGTATCTTAATGCCAATTTTCTGTATTATCCTGAATAAGCTTTGGTTGAAAAATACTGTTTTTATGGTTTAAAAATACTATTTTAATGCAATTAGAAAAAAAATCGATTTAAATAAAAAAATCCTATTTAAATCAAATAAATCGATTTTTTTTTAAATCATGATTTTTTCCAACCCTACTCATAAAAAAAAAGTCCTGCGAGCCATTTCCAAGAGGGGCCTACAATTAGCCAATCTCTGCCCGCTATATAGCCAACCACTTGAGACTCATTAACGGAGTCTTGTCCGCTTCCTATATTTAATCAACTCGCGCTACAGCTTGTCCCAAATGTAAACGAAATTAATTGATATACTGTATATTAATGTATGAATTAAGAATTTTATGTGAACTAAATTTTGCTGTAAACCTTGCATGCCATTATCATTTACCATATTATCTCGCTATACAAGAATACCTCAAATTTGGACAGATACAATCACTGGGTTTTTTATTTATCGTGTGAGTGAGATCAACAGTGTAATTATATTTTGTTACTAAATGCCAAGTTGTATCACTGTTACACGGACCACTGTAAGACGCTAAGGTGCACCAATTAGAACTCTTCCAATTAAATACTTTGTAACATCCTGTGCCCTAGTTATGTATTCTTGTAACTCTACTTGCCTTGCTTACAAATAAAATGCAAAACAATAACATGAAAATGTTTGCTTTATTTATCAGACTCTCTCTCTCTATGATTTCGTGAATTAATAAATTAATTCTTATATGAGAAATAAATCATAACATAAATTCCATAAGAAAAAAAAATTGTCATGCCTGCCTAGAAAATACGCAAAATAAACAGGAGTCATAAGTAAAACTCTCCACCCTATAATGATCAAATTAGGGATGAAGACCACAAAGGGTAGGAGGATAGAGGAAGGAAGAGGAGGTGGTTCATGGAAGGGAGGAGGGTAGAGGGAGGTTGTGGCATTCATTTTGGCCTTAACATCCCCTAATACTACATAGTGGCCTGAGAGAGGGGGGGGGGCAATAAAGGGGAGGAGAGAGAGAAATAAAAACAGGAGGTAAAGTATAGGTGGGAGGAAAAAAAACAGGAAATAAGATAGGTGGGAGGAGAGAGGGAGGGAGAGGAGGTAGGTGGTGCAGATGGGAGGCAATAAAGGAAAAGACAGAGGGTGGAGAGTGAGAGGGAGGAGGGGGAGAGAGAGGGAGGGAGGTGGGAGGGATTCTAACATTACTCTTAGCCAACAATACCACTTAAACCACAGCCGCCCAGGACAACCTTATTGTGGGAAGGAAGAATGGAGACAGGATGGATGGAGGTGGCGGAACGGAGAGAGGGAAGGGAAATAAACGGGGAAGGAAAGTAAGGAAGAGTGAAACAGATAACATTCATATTAGTCAACACACACACACACACACACACGTCTTGACCAACTATCCAATGCAACTTCACCGTGGAACTATGTGCAATCTATAATACAAAGATAAAGGTGAATGAGCTAGAACGAGTATCGTGGACACGAATGAAAGTGAGTGGCCATTCCCTCGCTGTAGAGGAGGGGCGCTGGAACAGACGAGACAGGGGTCCATTGAAGAGAGATTGTGTTCATGTGGTGTTATTCAGTCTGAATGGCATGTTGTTGAAGAGTGTCCCCGAACAATAGATATACGCCATCAATATAGTATCTCAACTTTTGTAAATTTGCTATCTGAAAGAACGGATTATGAAACAGTTTGTCGTGCAGGTCATAGAATACCTCATGAATATAGTTACAAGTCACACCATTACCCACAACTATTTTATATGTTTTAGTTTATTTTACTTGTAGTTATTTTTGGGTACTTTATTTACTCTTGGTTTTCCTCTGTTTTGTGTTTTAAAACATTTGCATTTGAACCATTTTATGTCAAAATTTATAAGTGTAAACTCTGTATTCATAATTTGTGGTCAATAAAATATCAATCTATCTATCTATGTAAAGTATGCCTGTATGTCTGTATGTGTTTAGGTGTGTGTGTGTGTGTGTGTGTGTGTGTGTGTGTGTGTGTGTGTGTGTGTGTGTGTGTGTGTGTGTGTGTGTGTGTGTGTGTGTGTGTAGTCGTCACTGATCGATAAGTCAGGCGTCTCAACGGCTGTACACAATTCCTTGCATTTGATGTCATGTGTTGATGGAATAATTCACACAAACACACACACACACACACACACACTGAACACCACACCCTCTTGTGCACACACACACACACACACACACACACACACACACACACACACTACCCTACCCTCCACAGATAAAACAGAAAGAGAGAGAGAGAGGTCAAGTCACGAGCCTTCAGTAGGTATTAATTACCCTAACTAATTGCCTGATGCTCAACGAAATTAAACAATCGAGCTTAAACTGTGGACCCGGACAATATAAATCACTTAATTAAACTCAAGTGTCCGGGTAATAGAGACGGGGAGAACATACCCACACAAACACGTATTACGACCCACAACACATATGAGGACTATTCTGTACCCACAACACATATGAGGACTATTATGTGCCCAGACATATTATTTACCCAACAAACACATATTTGGACCGTTATGTACCCAGAAACACATATTAGGACCATTTTGTACCCAGACACCTATTATATACCCAGAAAAACATATATTAGACATTTTTTATTCCCACAGTTCACTAACGAGTCTGTTATGAAAATCAGATTAAAAGTCGCTTAAGCCCTTCTTATATTATCATTAAGGGGAGTCATTCATCACCTACCATGTATCCATCACCACCATCACGTGTCATTCATCAGGTGATCCCCCCCACAGGAGGTCGTCACACAGGCCACGGCAGGATATGAACACGCGTCTTATTTACATGGTGGTCATCCCCCCAAAAGATTTCCCTCGCCTTATTTTCCGGCGCGTCACGACAACGAACATGCATCTTTCTCTTTCGTACCCCAGCCCAGCCCACACTATCCCCCCTTTAATTTCCTTCTAAAATAATTATCTGCAATACTTATACTTTTACAATACTTAAATATATATTTCTACGAACCTAATTTTACAATACCTTAGTTAAATATATTTTTATAAACCTAATTTTATAATATAGTTAAATATATATACTATAATATCTCTTTTCCTTTTTTTTACGTGCTTATTTTGTCTTCGTTAAATTCATCTCTAAAAGTATTATTTGTACCTGGTCGGTGGGAGGGGGGAACTAACCAGGGTAGAGCCTCACCTGGGGAACTGAATCATGGTAAGGCCTCACCTGGGGGGAGCACTAACCACAGTAGGACCTCACCTAGGATGAGGAGAGAAGGTTGGCCGGTCATTGTCCCTCCTTTTGTGCGGATGATAGAGGAGGAAGCCCCCGGGGAAAGCTTCCTCGTACACTGACCCAAATGACCCCCGGGCGACCATTACCTGCCAACAAGGCGAGATGTTAAGGCAGGCAATATCGTTCCTTATTGTCCTCCCCTGCCGCGGCCCTCCACCCACCCACCCACTCAT